TGGCATGCGACATACATTCAGGTGTTTGCCCTTCCTGAGGAATTTCTCAAATTAATATTTTCAGCAAAATATTAACTTTCCGACATCTCAGGAGCCCACTCACTGTGTCTCTAGGGATTAGAAAATAATGTAAATAAAAGTAAATTGGTGCACAAGTGTTAGATTTCTGAACCAGAGAATTCAAATTAAAATATACAAACAGGCACGGTCAAATCCCTATTTCTGAGAGTGGACTTCTGCCAGGGGTTCCAGCTTGTACAGCAAAGATCATAGCAAAGTGGAATTCTGGAGCTCTTTCAGAACAGCTGATTCTGAAAACTATTTTATATCTACCAATATTGGCTGAATGTATCATTATACACAATGTAAGTCAAATCCTGAAAAAACATCATGGAACAATTTTGTCACAGATATTCTAATGATAACATTCTTTCCTTTTCTTGTCCCCTCTTAGAATGTGAATGCTATGAAGTCAGGGACTTTTGCCTGTTTTCTTCAGTGCCATGGCACATAGTAGGTACCCCAAATAATATCAATCTTTAGAGTGTAATTGAGTTATGTTTGTGAATATGTTTGGAGTATAGGGAATTCACAGCACTTCAATGATTTCTGTGAAGATATTTCTCAGGAAATGCTTGAAAGCAATCAATATCCTCTTTCCATTCTGACATGGACAACATCTCAGAGACTGATGCAATGCAGTATTCAGGCTTGACTGCTCCTTACCTCCTTAAACTTACTTTCTGACTGTTCTCTGTTTATTCTTGGAGACTGGGAGGGAAATAACATTTTGGATTGGGGAGGTGTTTCAGTACATCACACTATCTGCTGGGGCAAGAGATTGTTCTTTCTTGTTTCTGCCATGATATTTGGATGACTGGTTATTTGTGATGGATACACCAATGGCAGGATGCTTAGGGGTCTAAGTTTAGATATTGTTTCTACTAATAGCTCAGTTGGTAATGAATCTGCCTGCAATGCAGGAGACCCTGGTTCAATTACTGGGTTGGGAAGACCTGCTGGAGAAGGGATAGGCTACCCAATCCAGTTTTCTTGGGCTTTCCTTGTGGCTCACCTGGTGAAGGATCTGCCTGCAATGCAGGAGACCTAGGTTCGATCCCTGGGTTGGAAAGATTCCCTGGAGAAGGGAAAGGCTACCCACTCCAGTATTCTGGCCTGGAGAAATTCATGGACTGTATAGTCCATGGGGTTGCAAAGAATCAGACACGACTGAGTGACTTTTGCTTTCTACTAATATTACTTATGTAAAGCAGCATGGGGCCATTAGAATCTTCAATCTAGTAAGAAAAAATAGAAGAATAGCAAGACCCAATGTATAAGCCTTCATGAGTATATCCAGTTACAGATGCTGAGTACATGATTTTAATTTTCCTGAGCACTGATGAACATATGGTAACTAATTTAAATAAATTTAAATAGTCATTTGACTAGTGGCTACCATATTGGACAATAGCAGCTTTAGTCATTCATAAGAGAGATTGGTGAGGGGACTTTAGCAAGAAGGATGTTTTCATAAATGCTCTCTTGTAGCGCCATGAACCATTTAGAAATGTTGGCAGACTCTCTGGATGACGGTTTACTTTGCCTTTACTCTGCCAGGCAGTGGCCAAAGATTTCACTGTCTAGTTTGGAGTTTTTCCCATGGGATTTTCCCAAGAGCCACATTTTCAGCATCTAAACAAACATATAACCCAGCAAAAACCAACAAAAGGGACAAGAGATATGGAAGTGAAAGTTTAAATCATCCCACATTAGAGGTAAGGGTATATCAGGAGGGTTTCTCTTGTAGAACAGAAAAATCCCAGGACGCAGTACATTTCCAGGGCCAGCTGTCATGCTCAGCGTTCCATGGCCTCCTGATACCTGAGTATAAAACAAGAATCCCATAAGGAATTTCTGAGTTCAAGCATTTAGCAGGGCAACCTGGAATGGCTCTTTAGGAGGATGACTGTTTCTTGAGACTTCTGTGCAGCTGACGGGTAGAAGCAGTCAACACTTTTGGTGTTCAGGCAAAGATAAAATTAGTAGAGCATAAATTGGAGAGAAATTTAAAGCAGTTACTGATCTAAACAACTAAACACAGCATATACAGCATCCAAATACATTTACAATGGCAGAGAAGATAGTTGTTGACTCATTTAAAAAGCTCCTGACCTCTTCTTACAGTATAAATGGAACATATACCACTTAAGACCAGGCAGAAGCCACCTACTTTTGAAGGTTTACAGTTGTGTGTTTCTCATCAATATCAGTTATCCATCATGCATCTGGTAAAACCCAGGTTATCCTAGGAAATATGTTCAATTGAGGACTTAGCTGTGTGGCCATAACTGAAATGTCTTAGCTGAGAACACTGACTGTCTTGTAGGGAATATCTGTACTTTTGCTTTGTTTCTCTGAGAATAATATAAAGATATTCTTGGGAATCATTTATGTTTAAGAATAATTTATTTTTGCATTTGTTTGGAGATTTTGACAAATTTTGTCTCTAGATTTTCTTCATCAAAGTACAATGTAATTTGTAACTCAATATCTTACTTTTTTTTTTTTTTTACTTCAGATTTATATGTATTATTTTTCATGTCTTTATGTCAAAGTTTTATAGTTAGGGACAAAATGGCATTATCCTGAACCTTTTTCAAACCTTTCTTTCTATTGGAATGCTTCTTTTCTACCCCCTTCATATGCAAATCATTAACTAAAGAGCATTAATAAGGTAGAACTCTATATTTCTTGAGTGTATATGTATCAATTTAGCACTGGAAATGAAGTACCACACTTCTATATGAGAACATGTTGCCTAATTAAATACAATTTTTAAAAAAAAAAGCAGTGACAGTGCATCCTGAGTTTCAAAGTCTGGGACATTGTTATACAGATCAAATCAGCAAGTCTTAAAATTTATAGCAAATTTATTTGAGGAGTTCTGAAGACTGCTATAGCTATTGTAATCCCTTCAAAATACAACTCTACTAGACTTCATTATTTTTGTATTAATTTTGCAATTTATATCTTTTTAAATGGGAGGGCAAGTGTTGGGATTGATGGTCATTGTTTTTTTAAAAAAACTTTTCTCTTGATTTTTAAAAACTGGTTAGCGTATGTGTATTTGAGAGTTTTAATACAAATATACTATAATAGTATAGAGACAAATGTCTTTAATGACAGCCATGAGAGTATACTGAGATCTCCTTCCAAGAGGGGCCCTTCAGTTAGCTGACACCTCCAGCTGTCGCTCTATGATCTCCTGGTATTTACACGGAGGCCACTCCTAGCCAATGACTGGGCACGACTTACAAGCAAGGAGGCAAATCTGCCCAGCATGGGTTTGCCTCGCTGGGTCGTCTTTGCTCCTGGGCTGCACATCAGTCTGGCTGAGACTTTCTCAGAGCAGCACTGCAGTATGAGATTCCTACCCAATCCTCCGTCCACCCCATCCCCTCTCAAAAGTGTCAGGCTGACATCACAGAAGGCTCTCCCTGCCTACTCCTGCTCTTCTCCTCTTCACCAATGTACTTCTAATTGATTCCTAGCAGTTGTTTCTCAGAGGACCCCTAAGAGTAGTTCAGTCCCTCCCAGTCTCTGCCCCAACTCCTCAGAGGTCAGTAAATAAAGAGTTATATTATATATTGCAATGGTTGCAGACACTTTATGCAGAATTTCTTTCATGGCCATACCATAGTTGATGTAGTTGGCCTATTCACTGCCAGACACTTAGGCTGTTTCCAGTTTTACACTATTATAGGTAAGGCATGTATATTTTTCTTCACAGATTCGTCAATGAATATCTGCAGCATCTAATTCCAGGAGTGAAATATCTTGGTCAAAAGATGGGTGCACATCAAAATGTGTGTATATTATCAAATTACTCTTAAATGTTTGTATCAATCAACAATGCCCACATGTAGCTTGAGGGTTTCTGTTTTCCTGACATATTCACAGTATTGATTATTATCAGTTAAAAAAAGTTGTGCCAATCAGCTAACCAGTGGCATCTTATTACTGTTGTTGGGTAAACCATAGTTTCATATGTCTACATGTAAGCTGATGATTTACATATTAAGGCAATTTTCCTCTCAATCTGAGGTTTATCCCTGGAGTTTGTTTATGATGTTCCATGTTTTAAATAAATGTTGCCTTTTTATCTTTGACATTTAAAAATTTCTCATGATTGCTGACAGTTTTCTAATGCTGACATTAAACACAAATAAAGAGAAAATATTTTGGCCAAATCTGTTTGTTATGATAAGAATTTAGAATGGAATCAGGTAACTAACTTATAGCTAGAATTAAAGCATCACTGAATGACTAGATGAATAAGTCAAAGGGAAAAATGTTAGTACTCCCTTCTAGATTCCACCATAGACTATAAAGATGCTATACTAAAATGCTGGTACTCTGATTTTCACTGCCTCTATTTTTATAATTAAATGAAAAAGTTAAAATATTTTAAGTAGTTCAATTTTCCATTTTCCAATGGTTTCCCTCAGTTTGTGTCCTGTTAAAAAAAGCTTCTAGTTATTTAAGGAACTCTCATAATGACTTATAAATCAAAACTGCCAGATGCTGAATTAGGATGGTCAAAATAAATGGGCAATGTGGTACATGATTCTCTCATTCTATCTAGGAATTATCAGAAGAACACCAAATTTATGGGAAAGATTGGGGCTAAGGGGGAGAATCCCCAAACTGTCCAAAATATTAAAAAAATCAAAAAAATGACTTTTGCCTTCAAAATTCTTTTACCCCAACACATATAACAGGGAGTGTAGTACCATTTATTCAACCATGAAGACATTTCTATACATATACCAATTTCTTTTAGAGAAAAAGGAACAAAAAAATAAGATGAAAACTAGAACTCTTACACTTATATATGTGCATAACACATGCAATGACCACCTGTGGATGCACAAGTCATTTTTAAATGCATTTTATTCAGAGGAGGAATTGTTCTTACTGAAGAAATCTGAACTTACCTCCTTGTTCATCCAACATAACCAAAGTCCTGATACCAGCATCTTTACTCTACATTCCAATAATGGTAGCAAAGTGGAAAAAGAGTTAGAGAGAGAGAAAAGAAGAAAGAGAAATCAGTAAGGGGACAATTGGCCCTAGAAACGGAAAATGAAGAAGGATCAAAGGGAAAAGAGGAAGGAAATATGGCGAAGAATATTCGGGGCTGGGGAGGGACTCAGAGGAGCGGGCCACTTATGGACTTGATCCATCAGTGATTCTCAGATAGAAGACGGGGATACAGCTCAGTCTCCAAGGGGCAGGACTGGGGTTGGGGCTGGACATACACTTGGAATACACATGTATAATATCGTACCGTGATTTTCTGTCTGGAAAATAAAAATGCCTATAGTTTTGGTAACACCAACCACAGAAAGAAAAGTCTTTCAAAATCTTTGAGACTAAAACTTCTCTGGCTTGATATATCAGAAAGTTTCCATCAGTGAACTGGGGAAGGGTGGTCCACTGGGAAGATGTGTGTGGAATCTTGTGTGGGAGGTGGGGTGAGATTTTTAGGGTTATCAAAAAAGATGACTGCATCACAAAGGTTGAGAAATACAGCTCAAAAGGAAATTCAATCTTCCATTTATTTTTCTCTATGGAGAGGTTTTCTACAAGATTTAGAAAAGGGATTGAAAGATGAGAGATAAGGGCTTTTTCTAATGAAATCTAAAATTCTGCACAACAACGTAGTGTGAGAAAATAATTCATCCACAAGTTTTCCTGCAGTTTCTCGGGTCAGGAGAAGTCTATAAAAGGCACCCACACCTCACTCCTTATGATCTCAATACGTCCAATAGCCCTGAACTATTCGGTGGAGGGAAGTGGGAGCTGGTGGTAGGTGGGAAAAGGAGCAGAGATATTTGTATTGCTCATACTTAGGAATCATCACTTCCAGGGATTCTAACTAGTTAAGTAAAGGCCTTCCATTCCACAGGGCGACTGTTGATAGGTATTAAATGGTACTGCTTATAGTTTGGATTAATTGGTTTTCCAAGGAACACTCATGACAACCCTGAGAATAAATTCTAAAATAACACAACTCTCATGGCTCCTTTTATTTTCTACTGGCTTACAGTAAACTAAGAGAGGGAGAGAGATGTTACTGGAGGTCAACAGAAGGTTTGGGTTGTTGTTGTTGTTGTTGTTTGAATAGTTCTTCAATGATTCAATACCAATAGTGCTTAAAAAAATTAAAACAATGAAAATTATTTCTGTGAGCTTTTATAAACTCACCATTCCAGCAAATGTGTGCAGTTAACTCTCCCAGACAGAAAAGTCTATTTTGCTTTTTAAAAAAAAAAAAAAATTGAATGAAAGATTCTTTAAAGTGCTGTATAATTTTCACAAGGTTCACATACCTGATTTCATGTATCTCATAATGGCCCCTTTGCCCCCATCCTTATATGGCCCCTTCCCTTTTCTCACTGGCAACCACTAGTTTGTTCTCTGTACCTGTGAATCTGTTTCTTTTTTGTTCTAGTCACTAGCTTGTTGTATCTTTTAGATCATACAGTATTTGTCTTTCTCTGTCTTATTTCACTCAGCATAATACCCTCCAAGTCCATTCATGTTGCTGCAAATGGCAAAATGCCATTCTTTTTTATGATGAATAGTATTCCATTATGTGTGTGTATACATATGTACCATAGCTTCTTTATCCATGTATCTGTTGATGGACACTTAGGTCATTTCCATACCTTGGCAACTGTAAATAATGCTGCTATGAGCACTGGGGTGCATGCATCTTTATGAATTAGTGTTTGAACCCATTTTGATACACTTGAGCTACAAATTCAGGATATAGTTTTGAGAGTGATAGCTCAGCGTGACTTCAAGAGTCATTGACAGCACAGATTCTGTAGCTAGACTCTGCCCTGGAATCCTGGTGATTTTTTTCCTTGCTATGAGTCCTTGGGCAAGGTTTTAATTGTTCTGGGCCTCAGTCCTCTCATTTGTAATATAGTGATCATAATAGTTCATATCTTATTGAGTTGTTACTTGAATTCAATGAATTAATAGTCAGCATGTGCTAGAACAGTGCCTGGCCTATACTTAGCATTATAATCGGGTTACTAAAATAAACACCTTCACAAACTGCATCTATAGCAGGATATCTGGGCAAACTAAAATATTATCGTTACCAACTACTGTAAGAAACTTCTAGATCACTGCTTCTCAAACTCTGATGTGCATATGAATCCCCTGCACAGGAAGCATCTTGTTAAAATACAGATCCTGATTCAGTAGGACTGGGCTAGAACATTTTGCATTTTGCATTTTGAACAAGTTCATTGATTCTGGCTGGTGTAAGGACGTACACTGAACAGCAAGATTCTAGACCCTAGAAGATACTTCAAAACCTTGTTCTTCAATGTGCTATAAATGGAAACTCATCTACACTAGCCTGAACTTTAACAGGGGTTTCCCTTGTAACTCAGTTGGTAAAGAATCTGCCTACAGTGCAGGAGACCTGGGTTCAATTCCTGGGGTTGGGAAGATCCCTTGTAGAAGGAAATGGCAACCCACTCCAGTACTCTTGCCTGGAGAATCCCGTGGACAGAGGAGCCTGGCAGACTACTTTAATTTCTGTGTCCCTTTTCTGAAAATTTTAGCCATTGCTTATGAGAAGAAATTTTAAGAAGCAGACAGCTCATTCAGACATACAGATGTGATAATGCAAGTTCTGTTGAGGACAGGGTCATCTTAGGAAGCATCTTCTTTTGCGAGGACCCAACTCAAGGTCATATATGAGATCTCTGTTCCATTCTATTGGGAACAGAGGGTGGGCAACAGATGAGTGATTTCAGTTTAGTCAACCTAGGTCTCAGCTGCTGACCCTTTTTGCTCTACTCATTTATTTTATATGAATCCCTGTAAGTATAATTTCCTCTTTGTTCAATTTGGCGCTCAATATTTCAGTGCTGGAATGATTCACTGAACAATCCAGATTTGCCCCAATTTGGGAGGACAGAAGTGGTGAGCACAGATCAGAAAGTCAAGAATGCTGGACCGAGTTAGCTCAGCCACCAACTGAGACTGGGGAACAGTCACTTGACCTTTCTAGATGCTTCCCCATGTTTTTCTTTAAAAAAGAAAATTAATTAATTTAATTGGAGGGTAATTACTTTACAATATTGTGGTGGTTTTTGCCATGCATCGACATGAGTCAGCCACGGTGCACATGTGTCCCCCGATCCTGAAGCCCCCTCCCACCTCCCACCCCACCCCATCCCTCTGGGTTGTCCCAGAGCACGGGCTTTGAGTGCCCTGCTTCATGCATGGAACTTGCACTGGTCTAGATGCTTCCCCATGTTTCAGACAAGGACAGAGATGCTAAATAGAACTGGGAAGTTCCTAGGTTGGTTCATTCACTCATTTGTTCATTTACTAAATGGTTATTAAGCTTCTACTCTGCCCCTGGAACTAAGGTAAGGGCCAGACAAATACACGGCTGAGAAGACAAGTATTATATTTTAATAGCAAGGAGGGAGAAGAGGTGGTTCTGTATTTGTCTTAGTCCAATTCTTGGTTTTTGTTTGAGATTCCTGGGAAACCTGTCTACCCATTAACAGGGGGAGTTGGAGATGTCAGGGACTTTTTTTTCGTTTCCTTTTATTTAACTTTAGTTCTGTCTTATTTTTTTCTTGCTGATGAACTAAGACAATGTTTATAGAACATTTTATAGTCTTTCTGTTGTCATCCTAAAATGCTTTCTCCAAAGTCCAATATACCTGAGCTAAAACTAGGCCAGTCCGGGCATTCTCTCAATCACTAGAGTTCCAAAACACCCTCCCATCTGTCTACCTGAAAAGAACTGTGCAGCCTGATTTTCCCCCTTTGGTAGAAAGTATGGCATAATAAAGACATAGCTTTAGAATACTTACTTTCTTCTTGTGGCCAAAGTGTTTCAAAAGATAAGTTGGAATGAAAAGAAAAGATGCTAAAACACCCATCAACGTTGGGGACCCCTCAATAACCACCACTGCATGAAGCTCTGTGTGGGGCTTTAGGATCAGCCTGCCCTATAGCAGCTTGGCTTTTCCTGGCTTAGTTTCATGGCCCAAGGCATTAACATGTAGACACCATTTCCTGCAGTTAGTATTATGACTCTCCCTCTAGAATTCACTGTCCTCTCCTTTGTGCTCCTAAGACAGGTGTAGTCTTGACTTTGGAGAACTATTTTCATAAGTTTTCCTGCATGATATCCATTTTTATCTTCTACCCCCAGAGTCAGGCATTCCGTAAATACTTGTTGAAATGCATCCATCAAAACAGCCAGTTCCCAACTCCAGCCTAAGAACCAAGTGCTATGTGATTTCCAATCTTTTTAAGTGTATATGGCATTCAGCTTTTCTGAACTTTCTCCACTGACCTCCATGTGACTTTACATTGTCCTTGATAGGCGCACAGTAGCTTCTATTAAAAAGTAAGCCTCCCTGCTTCCACTCCGCTACACCCTGAAGTCCACGAGGGATGGCACAAAGTCCTATATTCCACTGAAAGTGGAACTGCTTACCTTGGGGAGACTTCACAAGCTGAGTAACCTTCCCTGTCTTTAAGACTGAATTTCAATAACCATTCAGCTCAATTCAAATTATACGGCACTGATGTACTTTGGGATCATGGGCAAGATCCTGGTACTCTAACGCTCGAATTTTCCTAATGATTTCTGCCCTTGATGAATATTTAATGATGATTCTCTTTAAAGAGAATTTCCTTCTTGATTGAAAAGCAGGGTATCATCTGACTAGCCAATGCCCTAGACATAAGGGGTGTCTGACCATCAATATAAAATAACCCAGGAGGATATAAGAGCAATCAATCTAGTCTCATTATGCCTTGCTCATAACTTCCTAAGGATCGAAAGTCTAATAGCCTCCTCTCTCTCATTAGAGGTAGGAGATAGCATCCATCTGCTTCATCCCCTGATCTAAGATGCAGCTTTATGCTTGATGCAGAGACACTTAGGAGAAACAAAAATGTATGATTTGAGAATCCTACTTCAATCAATAGAGCTTTTGAGATGTTTTCCTCCAGAATAAATTAGAGAATTAGAGCAGATGCTTCTTTTCCAAGACTGGCCAACACTGCCTGCAATTTAAGAAAACACACAAAAGAGAAGTGTGCACAGCCCAAAGACTCAGGTTGGGGAGGGGTGGGGGGAAAGGTGTGTTGGATACATTTCTCTATCACTTGTCATGTTCTAGGCAGTGTTCCAATGTTGCACAGGTGGGCAAACTGGTGATAGTTTCTGTAGATTAGAAATTTGCTTCACACGTGCATACACACAAATGAAATGAAATATGAGCTTGGAGGCCACAGTTGAAGGTCATACAGATGTATCATTTATACATCAAGATAATGACATCAGCTGACTTCCAAGCTCCCTTCCTTCCAGTCACCGTGATAGCTCATGTGGGGATGTTACCCAGATTTGCTCCTTTCACTTGTTCTCATGACAGGTTGAGGGGCAACACGTTTATTCAAGAAAGCCTTGCCAGCACTCTTAGTATATCTGCTTCCTTCTTGGTCCTCAAGTATTTCCACATGAGTGGTGTTCCCAGGATGGAGCAAAGAAAACATTTCTCTTCATTAAGAGAGCAAAGGTTGCCTCCTTGTGTGCCTGCCGGGGGCCCTTGGCTGGCCTGCCTTCCTGTGGGACCAATTTTTGTTACACTGCAGGCTCACACTATCATTTCTCATGACAGCAGGCTTCGTTGGGCAGCCCGCCCCCACCCTCCCGGGGGTCGTCTGAGCTCTTGGTTGCCACCTTCTCCTTCCCCTTCCTGTGACAATTCACATTTAGCTTTATTTCATTCTTAGCTGAGAAGCTGAAACTGCAGAAATACGGGGAAAGGATGGCTTCTATAGTGTGAGAGATGGCTGCCCTTCCCTTTCACCTTATAAAATTTATCTTTTCCTCCTTTCATGTCATTGCAGAAGCAATTAACAGCAGCACGAGGCCAGTAGGCTCATTTAGTCATTCTGCTAGAAAACCCCCAAGATGTCTGAAGATGATGACCACACGTGAATTCATACATTGATAAGCATTTTCAAAGCATAGCTAAAACAGCAACTCACTGAATAAAAACGATTAGACTTGTTTTATTCAGTTAAGATAAATATAGCTCATCCCATTCTTTTTCCACTTCATCTCTCCCAGTGGACAAGTTCAATTAATCCATTTATTCTTCCTGGTTGACTGCTGCTCTCCCAAATTGGAATAAGTGGAGTTTATTGCAAATGCCCTTTTGATTCCATTATTGCTATCTGCCCTATTTTACCCATTTAAAAATAGGCAAGGATTCATTAACCATGCCTTGCAAATGAATGTTCAGTCCAGAGTCAGGAATGAAAAAAGAGCTTCTATATTTACATGACTAGACTTAATGCTTCCTTTTATGAAGGAATTCTCCTGTTATTTCATGAATTTTAGTGCCTGACTCTAAATCTAACAATTTTTGAAAATATGATGCCTCTATGGAGACATATTTTTAAAAGTCATACGTGTGGCTAAAGTCAGAACAGAAAACCAAGATTAGATGCAATTTAGAGGCATCAAAATCAGTACAAATGAAGATTTTCACATGGATAATTTTTTTGTATATTAAAAAAAAAATCACTCTGATATGTAATCTCAAAAATTTACTTGGAAATACTATTTTCCTCTGCTTTCCAGACTTAGCTTGGGCTGGAGGGAGAGTGAATACTTTGATGTCTACTTGGCAGCTTAAATACAGAATCTCCTTCATTATGTGGCTTTCTGGTACCTATGTTCACAATGAAATCAAAGCGACAGTGGCCAAGGGAAAGACAAAGGGCTTAGGCAAAGAATACGTCAGCCAAAGGGAATGTTCATCTTAAAATATGGTCACTCCTTACCTCTTCAACCAGTTGTAGCATACGACGGGTGCTTTCCAGAGACTAAGACAAAAAAAAACATAAATATTATGAGTGCAGGATCCAGAGGTCAAGGAAAATCAGAAAACTTTCTTCACTTGGGAAACACATAGGGCCATTATCACATGTTCTTTGAAGTTTGTAACAGAAACACAATTTCAATCTCTTTCCTATCAGGCTTTCTACATAATAAGATTCCTTAAAGCAATTACATTAAAGCTGATTGTCATAAAATCAGAACCATATGAAGCTGATCTTGATATCAAAGACAAAGCAATCTGGAAAAGATAATTCTGTATGTGGAGGCGTCATGAAAAATTATCTAGAATACTCAGAAGAGTGATTTGGTTTCCCTGGATGAAGAATATTGAATTTTAAAGACATTGTTTTTCATGAATTGAGATGAATCTAACATCAAGTTTCTTATAAAGCTCCTAGAAACACAATTGGAAGTTCTTATCAGTACAAATTAAGTTGTTGCCCTAGGGTGGAAAAAAAATCAAGAGTGTTTGAAATGACTAGCCTACAAGAGACAGCTATAATTACCTCCGTCCTGAGATAGGAAAAAATGAATTCTGCATTTTTGCAGAAAAAAATGTCCCTTGGGCATAGTGTGGTCACTTTTTTCTCAGTTCTTTTGAAATTATTAGAATTCAGCAACGAGTGTGATTTCTCAAAAGCTGTGCTTTTAAGTGACAAACTTATTTGGAAGAGTTTTCAGGAACATGAAGCATGTTCATTTTTCTGGGAAAAACTGTCAGCAGGCTACTTTTTGAAATAGAAGAGCTGTAAACAGTGGTGTGCTGGTAAATGCCTAACAGTAGGCTCACCAGAAAAAAAAAAATGTGTGTTCTTTTAATGATATAAAGGATGGATATAAATGATATAAAGGATGCTATTTATGTAATAGCATAAAACTTACCACTAATAATAAAATACATAATACTCTTCATTTAAAATTCCATATAGCCAATGGATTTTCCCAGAAAGCTTTGTTTATTTTGCTGAACTCATGTCCACAGCTAAGCAGGCAGACAGCAAGCACAGCTCTGGCATGAACACTGGTTGATATTTTCATTTACATTAATGAATAAAAGCAAAGTGAAGGAAGATGTATGTTGCAATTCTATTCATTTGTCAATGATGCAAGTGGCTTCTCTGTTGAAGACAATCATAGTTATCAAATACTGGAAGATTTTCTCAGTTTTTTTTTTTGTGTGTGTGTATTTTACAGGGTAATGGCTGTGGATGTTCATACTTCAAACTTTAATCTGTTATTAATGTTTTTCCACTTTCTTAAGTCTAGAGGATCAGTAAAACAATAGGTCAAGTCCTGATTTGTAGTGTTTGCAGATTCCATGGTCTAAATATCTTTTCCCTCTCTGATTTCTAAGTTCCCCATGGTGTCACTTGGGAAGTGACACTTGTGAACTTGGGAAGGTTCAACGATCACATGCGGGTAGACCATATCCACACACTACAGATACTGCACATGGCAAGAACTTTGAAATCATAGATCATAGTAAAATCATTAGGATGCGATGAGATTTAAGTATTTATTAACTTTGATTTTAATAGAATCTATTTAATTTCAGTTTATATAATTCAATTTTAATACAAGCTTGCAAAGTTCTGGACAATGTAACAACCAGCTTTCAGAAGCGAGCCATCTCCTGCACAACGCTGGCTGTAAGACATCCACAGGCGTTGCTTTTCTCAGAGGGTCTTGATTTCTCTGGATTTCTACAAGTTGGGAGTTTGGGCTCAGTCACTGATCTGCATGTAAGTTTTATAACCAACCCATTCCTGTCTGCAGAGTCCTTAGGTATACAGGAAATCAACGTTTCCTCTTCTGAAACACGAGAAGCAGCTCTTTCCCCACCTCAGCCTCACTAAAACAGACTACGTGGCTGCCCATCTCTTGCGTGCTTCCCGGGGCTGGGTTCTGTCACCTCATCGGCAAGCTGGTCAGCTCTCCGCTGCATCTCCTCCAGCTCATTGCGCATGTCCGCGTCCTCAGCCATGGTAGTGGTGTGGGCTGGCGGGGCGCCTGGGTCGGGGCGTCAGGGACGGGTTGGCCACGGAACCTGGAAAGAAGCAGGTTTGACCATATGAGTGTTTCCACGTATACACGCTGTTGTGCCCTATTAGGGGAAGCTCTAAATGGTCCACACTCTCTGTCTCCATGCCTCAGCAATCTTCTGAGTTGGAAGCGGTACTCAGACAGGAGGGCAGAGAATTACGCTGCTTCTCCGAAAGCCACGTGAGAGCCTCGCTGCCTACTTACAGCGGAGCTAGATACCTGACTACCCATGAAGCATCCTGAAAGATACACACCACCCACGCTTGGAAGGGAGGGATGTGGCTCCGGGTTAGAATTCATTTAACCTTGCATTCGTTTATTTTTATTTTATTTTTATCAGCTTTATTGAGGCATAATTGGCATACAATAAATCCCACATCTTTGAAGTATACAATTTGAGACATCTTGATACATACTCCCAAGGAAATCATGATCATAGTTAAGAAGATAAACATATCCATCACCCCATTCCTCTCAGGCCTTTTGTAATCCTACCCACCCACTCACTCCATCACACTGTACCCCGCGTACCCCCCTCCCTCCCGGTGCTAAGACAACGGCTTATCTGCCTTCTGTCACTATAAATTAGTTTGCATTTCCTAGAATTTTATATAAATGGAATGATACAGCATGGACTTTTATTTGAGTAGTATTCTATTGTATTTAGAAGCAAAAGGCAGAAAATCTTTAGTCTCTTTGTTATTATCACAGATTGTTGGGAGGCTTATGAATTTTTCCGAAGAAGAATGGGTCCTTGGTGGTGAAACGTGACGTGTGCGTTTTCCTGGCTATGCTCTTGAAATCCTGTATGGTGCAAATCAAGACTGCTCCTTCCAACCAATTGGCCCCTTCCTTCCCCTTCCCACCTCTTCCTCCATGTTAGTCACCAGGGCAAGTTCTCATGATACCATGCAGAGTTGTAAATGCTTTGCGTTTTAGCATAAGTCACCATTTGAGAAATTAGGGGTCTAAGAAACAGAAATCGGAAGCAATTTTTATACCAAACCACTCCTGAACCTTGAGATGAGCAGAAACAAAATTCTCATGATACTCTGTGGCTGGGATCTGCTCTCCAGGATAAAGTGGTGACCTAGTGGAAACACCGAGTACATCGTAGGTTGTAGCTGTGATGTCGGAAAGGCCTAGGTGGACTGTTGGCTCTGGCACTCAGCTGCTGGGTAACTCTGGGCAAGTGTATAAATGTCTCTGAGCCCCAGCTTTCTCAACAGGGCACATAATACCAGTCTCCTTGGCTTCTGGGGAGGGGCATATATTATAGGAAGTTCTGATCAACCTCATTTGTAAGGATGTGGGAGCTTAATAATCAGAAAGGCTTGCGCCTTCAGGATAAACCTGCAGCCTTTGCCAAAAGTAGAACCAATCTAGTGTTTCTTAATTAGCTTTCCTTTACTGATAGGTGGGCAGGAGGCATGTTGCTGCAGCGCTGAGCACCCATGGAAGCCTGAAACCCGGGAACCAGCAGAGGGCCTGAATCTCCAGTCTCCAAGCAGCACCTCTCACAGGATTTCCACGTGGAGACAAACACGAGCGCCTTCGCCCCTGCTCTCATCTTGGTATTTCTGCTACCTTGGTGGAACTTCTTTCAGTCTACGCAAGAAACCTACCTTTCCTTTGAATAGGCCAGTTTGTTAGAAGGCAGAGGTCTGTGTGCTCTCAGATCTGTAGCATTGCTGCTGTTTCCCACTCCTCTAATCTGCTTGCTTATGGATGAGCCCTGTCTCTCTCAGTTACACACACACACACACACACACACACACACACACACACACACACGTCTCATGTGTTTCCTTGGCAATCTCCTCTTAAAGCTGCTATTCTCAGCACTTGAAGACCAGCTGCAGGGACCACTATGCTCAAGCTCATGGTCACCTTTAGGGATATGGCGAATGGGCAGTTGGCACAGTGGCAGCAAAACCATGTGATAGACCCTTTTTTTTTTTAAATCACTTTCACAATCCCCCCTCCCTAGGTGCTCCCAGCCCTTGTCTCGCTCTAAAGAGTGTGGGTATGTCTGTGATTGGGGGGTTGGTGCATCTGACAGACCTTAGATGCATAGTATTTCAAAGCTGAGATAGCAGTGTCCATTCTCCTGGTAAGAATAGGGGGGACGAAAGCATGGCATGAACCTTCAGATCTTCTGTTGGGATGTGTATTGTTGGTATTTGATAAATTACCCCCCTACACCCCAAACCCATGCATGTTAGATTCTAAGAGACAGCACCAGAAGAAGCATAATGATACCGATTAGCAGTAATTTCAGTAGCTGAAAGAATGTTAATAGTGAAGTGGCATTTATTATCCAGGTGACATACAACACTTCACTCAGATTAGCACATAGCCTCCATCCTGGGTGTTGCCCGAGTTGGTAGTGTGGCCTCAGCCAGCAAAGCCTGTTTAATAACTGAGGAAATTAGAAGCAGAGCCTCTCAAATCTGTTCCCCGGGGCTTTGATGTAAAGTCTCTCTCCCAGTCCATTAAAAGCCCAACAGTATCCTGTTAATTAGCTCAAATCACTAGCATTTATCAAAGGGTTTGGTCCCTCGTAGGTGTTCAATTCACGTTAAATGATTTGTTGAATGAATGAATGGACTGTTCTGACACCCCTAGGTGGCAATTGATGCTTTCAAGATAGCGATTTTCCAGATGTGGTCCAGGGCGGTACCTCTAAAACTTCAGTGGACATCAGACTTACCACAAACCTTGTTGAAACAAATCACTGGCTCTCACTCTCAGAGATTCTGAGTCAGTTAGCCTGAGGTAGGGTCCCAGATTCTGCATTTCTAACAAGCGTCCTGGAGATGCTGGTGTTGTTGGTCCACAGAACGCACTTGGAGTCGCTCTGCTCCTCAGAACACTCCCCCGGAATGTTACCAAGTGTCCCCAGGTGGGGTGGGCAAGGCCCTGTTGTTGTTTAGAGCTGGAGAAACAGTGGGCTCAACCAGGGGCTTCCGGAAATCATGCTCAAATCCAGATTGCTGCCTGCTTTTATTCTGGCTGTGAGTGAAGGGTGGTTTTTACATTTTAAGATGGTTAAAAAGACTCAAAGAAGAAAAATATTTTGTATATGTCAAGTGTCAGGGTCCATAAACAAAGCTTTGCTGGAGCGCTTCCACACTCATTTGCTTCCCTGTCCTCCAAGGTCCTCTTAGGTCACTTTGACAGAGCTGAGTGGTTGACAGAGACAACAGGGCCCTCAAAGGTGAAAATGTTTACTCTCTGGTCTTGTATGGAAAACAGTTGCTAATCCCCAGGCTAAATAAAGTTAAACAGAAATCCTCAGATCAGTTCTTGTCCATGGGCACCATATATTTGCCATAGACGGATACCGGGTGTGTGTGTGTTTCTGTTTGTATTTGTAGAATTCCCTCTACCTGGAGCTTCCTGTGATGGGGTTTGTGCCTCCAGGACCACATTTTAAAACAAGAAATGGTGCATGGAGTAAAATATTAATATGAAAGTGAATTTGCCTTTGATAAGAGTTTTGGGACTGCAAGTCATATACACGTGTGATTAATCTGGGATGGGCGCCCTCATAAAGACTCCTAGCTTTCATGACCAGCTGCAGACCAAGGTTCCTAGCCTCAGCTGCAGCACTGGTTTGCGTCAGAGACAGAGATGTCTTGAGTATTTGCTGCTGTTGAGGTGCTCAGTAGCGAGTGGGCTGGCTGCAGTTACCCACTGACATCAAATGTAGTTTGAAACGCTCTCATTCTCCTGCATGCAAGTCTGTTTGAGACCCACGCTGGACACAGGACAGGTGGGCTTTGGAGAAAACCTTTCTCTGTCACGAAGGGGCTTACTTACTTACATGAGTTAGGTTAAGACTGGATTCAAATATGGGGTTAGGAAGCGTGGGTGAGTATGCGTATGTAGATGTGTGGCTTTGATGTACAAGGCTGACAGAGACACAGATGGCCATTATGCTGGGAACACCAGCTATCAGTCCAAGTGCCAAAGGGCAGGAATGTCATGGAGAAAGTGTGAGGGAGTGTACCCTGAGCTAACATCTATTTCTCTTCATGTTTCACACTTTAATAAAAAAGAAAAAACCTACATACACCAGTATCCATTGGCTGAATTATTACCAAAAGCTGAATCCAACATCTTTGTGTCTCCTCACACCGCTAATCGTTTGAACGAAGCTTCTATAGGACACGTCTCTCTCCTTCTGTAGCTCCTGCCAGGCCAGAATACTGATGTGGGTAGCCTTTCCATTCTCCAGGGGATCTCCCCAACCCAGGGATCGAGCCCCGGTCTCCCGCACTGCATTCGGACACTTTACCCGCTGAGCCACAGGGCGCCTGCTGTTTATCTATTTAATATGCAGCCGTGTGTATCTTTTCATCTCAAACTCATGATTTATTCCTTTCCCCCTACCCCTTTGGTAACTATTAGCTTGTTTTCTATGTCTGTGAGTCTGTTTCTGTTTTTTAAAATAAGTTTATTTGTATCATTTTCTTTTAGGTTCCACAAATAAGTGATATCATAGGATGTTTGTCTCTGTCTGACTTACTTCACTTACTGTGATCATCTCTAAGCCCATCCATGTTGCTGCAAATGACATTATTTCACTCTTTTTTATGGCTTGAGTAATATTCCATATATATGTGTGTGTATATATATATGAACATTATATACAGTATATACATATATATATATATATGAACACTGGAATGCAGTTAACTTTTCAAATTAAGAATTTTTTTCTTTTCTGAGTATATGCCCAGTGGTGGGATTGCTCGATCATATGGTAACTCTAGTTCTAGATTTTTAAGGAACCTGGGCTTTCCTTGTAGCTCAGCTGGTAAAGAATTCACCTGCAAAGCAGGAGACCTGGGTTTGATCCCTGGGTTGGGAAGATCCCCTGGAGAAGGGAAAGGCTACCCACTCTAGTATTCTGGCCTGGAGAATTCCATGGAC